TCAATGTCACTTCAAATTTTGCTTCCTATTGGTCGTCTTAACTGTCAATGTCACAAACTTCGATGCTGTTTCAGATCCGACCACAATGTATAAATACGCATTATCTGTAACGTTTTATGACCATGACCAGGGCCAGGACCTGGTCCTAGATCCCTAATCCGGGATCCTGATTCTCTTCTGGATTCGGACCTCGTACTTTCTGGATGCTTGTAGAATATAAGTTCTACTTCATATCAAGTCTTCTTATTTTACTCAATATGGGGGGGGCTGGGATAATCGGATTCGAGTAGTATGTCGTGTCACCGGATCCTCGATCCTCGCTCTCGTTTTCCGACTAGGTAAACTCGTAATAGGTCAAGTAAACCAAGTTGACGTGTTTACGTGCAGGCGTAACAGGATGCGAACCCGATGGTTTGAGTGTAAGAACTGAAACTACTGAGCTTCATCTTCAGTGAAGTCGTCGACAAGTACCACTAAGCAGTCTCATATCAGGAAGAAATAGCCGCTTAGTGATCCTGATTTTTTTTTCATAATCTAACTATGATTAGTTCATAATACATGAACTAAAAATCTCCACAAATTAACTATACCGATAATTTTAGTCTTTTAAAACATTTCTACACAATCGTTTTCAATATTTGACCACTAATGAATGAACACTAACACTGTAAATCATGTTTATCCTTAATTATCCTTGACAAGTCATCATAGATTATTGGAGATTAGTTCTGTTTTACAAATACTACTGTTATTACAATTATTCTTATTATTATACTTAACGAGATAATAAAAATAGACGGTAATAAAAATTAGTTATCATCATACACTAAGTCCATCATTTTAATATACTCATTTTTGTAGTTGACGTAAAAGTACTTTAAAGATTTTTGCTTTCTTGTTTTATTTAATAATATTATTGTTAGTGTGTAAAAGTTTGTATCATTATTACACGCTTAAGTGATTTATTGTATCTCTCTTCTGTCTGTATTACTTTCCCTGACCCAGCTCTATATTTCATTAGACTGACTATCATCATTGAATCCACAATTTACACATTTTTACCTATGCCTATTACCAACCCCAATGGATCATAGGCTACCCATTCTCCAACCTGCTCTATCTTGGGCCTTCTTTTCTGATTCTGTCCAATTGCAGTTCATTCTTCCCATGCCTGTCTCCGTTTTTAGGCGCAATAAGTATTTCGGTTTTCTTCTTCTCTTTTGACCTTCAGGATTCCAAATGACGCCTTGTCTTGTGATTCAGTCGAGTGCATTCCTCAATGTATGTTCTACCCACCTTCAACGCTTCTTCTTGATTTCTTCTTAAACATGACACTGGTTTGTTTTCTCTCACACTAAGTTGTTGCTGATCGTGTCTGATCAACGGATCCGAAGTATTCTGCGTAGAAAACTATTAATGAATACTTGTATTTTGTGGATGATGGCTTTCATGGTTCTACAAGTTTCCGTTCCATACATTTAAACTATCTTGGCATTTGAATTTAAAATTCTAATCTTGGTGTTTTTTGATAGTTGTTAACAATTTCAGATGTTCTTCAGTTTCAGAAATGCAGCCCTTGCTTTCCCGATCCGCGCCTTCACATCTTCATCAGATCCACCTTGCTCGTCGATGAGGCTGCCCAGTTGTGTAAAGGTGTCAACATCCTCCAAAACTTCTCCATCAATTGCAATTTGGTTGGTGTATCGAAGAATCTTCCTTTTCCCTTCATGTATGTTGACACCTACTGTTGCTACTGCTAAGGCTGCTTCCACACTGATCGTCTTCTCTTGCATTTGTTGTTGTGTAGGCGACAGAAGAGCCAGGTCATCTGTGAAGTCCAGATCTTTCAGCGGTATCCCGACTGTCCACTGTATACCGAGCTTACCCCCATATGTCGACGTTTCCATAATCCAGTCGATCACAAAGAGAAAGAGTAGGGTTAAGAGTAAGCAACCCTGTGTGACATCGGTCTTCAATTCGAACGAGTCTTTCAGTTGTCTTCCATACACGATTTTTCAGTTTAATCCAAGAATGAGCACTGATTATGTACGTAACAATATCAGGCCTGTTAACTCGACAAAAACATACCAGTGATCAGAAACAGAGAATTCCGAATAAAATCACAGCACAGCTAGAAACCAATGTAGTAGAAAAAATAATAGTTTCAGTAACTATTTCATAACTGTTTGACTACCAGTAGACACAGAAACATGTGTATATCTAGTTGAATGAATGAATGTGAACCAATTCACATAGGACAGTTTTGTTTGCGTCCTCAATGAAAACAGTCGTAGCATCTCTAATTCCATGGAGTTGAATAATGGATTTGAATTCAGCATTACTTTGGGGATGTTAGATCCCCAAAATTCGCTTGATAAATGCCTTATTTTGGTTTCCACGTTTGCCAGCATGGGCTGATCAGTTGACCTTGAGATTTCAATTCCCACCAGAAAATTCCATGGCTGTAATTGGCTGCTGTGTATTTTAGTGTGCTATTCTCGTAACTGTCCCAAGGACGTTTCTATGATGTATAAATAAACGAGAGTTGTATGCTTGATTGTACTGTGATTGCAGGGTGTTTGTAGAATATACTTTTACGCTTACAAAGCCTTTCTTTACTTCCGCTGGGATTCAAGGTAGCCTATCTGGACGCTGGTAATTGTCTCGTTCGCGTTTATCGACTAAGGTAAACTCGTAATAGCCTCTAGCATACTTAGTGACAAACATAATACAACTAGAAATGAAGAAATCGCACTTTTCAGAAGGAATAGAGAATGAGCAATCAAATCTACTGACTTTCAACATCTAAGTGACAGACAGATATTAGCACTCATTAACTTGAGAACAAAAAATACATAGTGTAGCTTAAATTCCAGCAAACGAACTTGCAAACGGTCACTAATGTCTCGTACATTGTTTCAAATCAAACGTCAACGACTGTGGTATGTAATAAAAGCTTTTCATAATAGCATTACTCACGTAAATTCAGGTTGTTTTGTAACTGATAAAGAAGAGCTTTGAAAAAAATAATGACTTCATGTTATGCTGTTAAATACTAAGCTAAAATCACTTCATCTTCAGAAAAACTTTTTAAGTTTAACGCTAAACAGAGAGATGTTCACCAGCTAATAGCCAACTCTGATAAGCCATTAATTAATAGACCATAGGGTTAATAAAATATCGTCTGTTTGATTGAATATTACGAAGAAATTCATATTTTACAAGTTTAAAACGACTCAGATAGACAGCTCATTGTGGCAGAAAACTAACTAGTCGTGAGTTGTAGGTTTTGTTAGTTTAAAAATCATCTTATGGAGCATGTCATTAATGCTGTTGAATTTTGTAAACTACAGAAAAAAGTAGATTTTTAGTCTCTTTTTCTTATACCTTAACCATTCAACGTGCTCAAAACCAGGACACTAAAATTCTGTTTCGAATACGAACAACAGGATAATACAAAACCTGACAGAAAAAAGTCATACGCCTATTCAACATGTTAACAGCCATCGAGACGCAGTAGTTTAGTGTATCAAGAGTTGGTATTTTTAGGCGATAGATTCTGGATTCAAGTCGCGGTGTTACGATCAACGCTAGAACCGAGGAACATCCAATTGACGAGTATTAAACAAGACAGAACTCATCTCGATATCCGTGCTAACAGAAGCTAGGCGCAAGTTGGCAAGGCAAATGCAATATTTCTACAACTGGAGAACATTTGAAACTCAAAACAACTGTCGACACACTCCAAAATCGAAATTGTCAATACAAATTTCAAGACAGTTCTACTGTATGGAACGGGAACTTGTAGGATCACGAAAGCTATCATACAGAAGATACAAGTATTTAATAACAGTTGTCTACATAGAATACTGGGGATCCGTTGACCAAACACCATCAGCAACAACCTACTGTAGGAGAGAATAAAACAGATTCTAGTTAAGGAAGAAATCAGGAAGAAGCGTTGGAGGTGGATAGGACACACATTGAGGAAAGCACCTGACTGCATCACAAGACAAGCCGTCACTTGGAATCCTGAAAGTCAAAGGAGAATAGGAAGACCAAAAAGCACATTACGTCGAGAAATGGAGACAGACATGAGAAGAATGAACAACAGTTGGACAGAACTGGCAATGAAGGCCCATGGTGGATGGCCTATGCTCCATTGGGAGTAACAGGTGTAAGTAAGTAAGTAAGTAATTACGTTAAACCCAGCTCATATATACTAAGACTCAACTCAAAAGCGCCGCTACACCGAAACAATCGTCACAGGATGAAATAGCCACAGAATTTCTCAACTTCTTTCCTACATAGTAGTACACTTGTAATCTATAGACTTTGAAAACTATCCAAGACCAGAATAATACACCCTAGACTAACAGAATGTCAGCAAATTTATGCAAAATAAATATTCTACAACTGTGGTGCGAGCTACTTATAAGTAGTATATGACGTGAGTGTCAACATAATGTCTGGCAGAAGAAGATGGAGGAAGATCAAGAAAGGAAGAGTTAGAAGAACACAATGGAATTTGTATGAAACGCATGAATAGTGACAATGGATTGATGTTTTGCAAAAAGGAACAGTCCAGTTCGATATGATGGACTGATATTTTGCAAATGAACGATTTACCATATGGTTTTCCAATTTTACTGAGTAACTCTGTAATTTTCGTCAAATACAATTCGGTTGCCCAACCTGTGTTCTCGTTCACTACACAACCACTTTTCAAAAAGTGAGTAATGACAGTAATTTATTTACAGCATACACAAATACCTATTATTTATATATATATGTATATAAAAGCGGTTTACAACTTGAACATTTTTCATAAAATTGTACAAAATCAACCGTAGGTGGTTGTCTTTTCCGGTCTTTCACCTTAATTTACTAACAGTTAACAAAATGTACATATATATACATGTATATATATTTCCCAACAATCCAATATCAAAATGGAATGAAAAAAGAAAAGAACTTTTTTCTAGAAAAAACAAAATTGTACGAAGTAGACTATACAACAAAAAAGGCGGCGCACAAATAAACAAAGAATCAATAACTTTAGCGAGATGCATTGAGAATTAAGCGCTCGCTATTCAACGTTGATAATTGGTTGACATTGCACTGAATTTAGTAAACTTATTACTAATACTTAGATTACTACTACTGCTACTAAAACTATCAGTGGGACCATTGTTGTTACTATTATTAGCATTATTATTAATATTCATATTCATAGTAGTTTTGATATTACTATCGCTGTCATAATGATTATTATTATTGCTATTATTACTATTATTACTATTATAATTATGTTGAAATGATTTCAAATGCCCGATTCGACCGGTTCGACTATGTGATCTTCTCAACGAATTAATCGATAACATTCGACTGTCTGGCGTTGACGATGTATACGGTTGTTTCATGTAAGACTGTGGACAATGATGACGTAATCTGTCAACAAGTAAATGATTATTAGCATGTTGAATACTTCTGATAGTTAATGCATGTTTCTCATTACTATCAAATTGTATAATAGAATTATTATTAGGTTTTGTTAAATTGTTCAATTTTTTGGTTTTATTCAATTGACAATCATTAAACTGAGTTAGATTTTGACGAATTGGTTTACCAAAAGCAAATAATGTATGATATTCTTTTGATTCATTTGTTATAAGGGTATGCGTTGTTGGTAATTGTGTATTCTCATTGATTTTGACACCGCATATTGATGAACGTTTCACAGTGATCTCTGGTAGTGCAATGTCACCACGATTGGAATTATTGACTTTTCCAGAATAATGACAAGTTGATATTGATGACGGGGCTGGGGCTGATGCTGATGCTGGTGCTGATGACTGTGGCTGTGGCGCTGAATGCTGTGGAATAACCACCCCATAACTCATGATATCGGATAAATCTCTTTCGGCATAAAATTGTGCAATTCTCAAACGTTCTTCTTCGGTCACTTCAACACCATCAATAAATTGTAACTTTGGAATACAATGTATAAGAATTAATCGATGTATTTGTCTTGTAGCAATTGGATTATCTATGAGAGAAATTTCAAATAAATTTCGTTGACTTTGAGCAAATTTCTCAAGATCAACAAAATCGGTCAATTTATTTGCACCAACATATAATCGTTGTAAATTTTCCAACTTACTCAAATGACTTAATTCATGTAGACGATTATTTTCCAAATGAATTTCTTTCAATGTCCAATTGTATAAAAATGACAATTCATTCATCACTTTAATTCGATTATTGTCTAGTACTAATTCTTTCAAATGATTTAAACCTTCCAATCCATTAATAGTAATTAAATCATTATCTTGTAAAAATAATGTTTGAAGACATGTCATACGATGAAATTGAAATTCTTGCAAAGAACGTATACCATTCTGTGCAAGATGTAATACACTTAAACACGGATAAATTGGTTGTGTTGACCTATATAAATTTACAAAACGTGATTCCATTGAATCAGTAGTAGTACGTCGAAAATTCACATTCATAGCTAGTGAATAAATACCACGGGAAAATAAACCTTCAATATTATTTTCATTTAAACAAATCACTTTTAAATTGGACAAAAATACTAAACCACCAAATGAAGTGAGATAATTTTTTTCTAAATTAATACTTTTTAAATTAATCAATCGACATAAATCTAAACAGTCAATTGTTCGTAACATACATTTTGGTAAATCTAATTGTACAAGATTAGTGAAATTATCCATTTCTAAATATTCCATTAAATATTCACATGATAATCGTCCATGAAATAATTCTTTCGATTGGCATAATTCATTCGATGTAATTTCCATGTTATCTAATGATTTAATTGATTTTAAATAATAAATCACTTGATATCGATAATGATTGATTGTATCGACTAATGGATTATTGGATAATTCTAAAATACTTAAATTGGGCAATTTTTTCAAATGTAAAATACATTTAAAATCATTCAATTGATTATTTCCTAAATATAATTCAATTAATTGTTGACAAAATATAATACCATTGATTTGTTCAATTTGATTACTTCGTAAACTCAGAACACGTAGATGATGATTTAAACAATCCAATTGGAACTGATCAATACGTGTGATGTGATTATTGCTTAGTAGAAGACATTGAAGATTTTTTAAATGATTTATATTCTCTATGGATTGAATACAATTAAATTCTAATGATAATTCAATAAGTTTGAAACAATTGTTTAAACCTTCAATTTTTGTAATGTAATTATGATTTAATGAAAGATATTTTAAATTTGGCAGTTGTTCTAAATTTTCAATTTTCAATAGATTTAGCGATTGTAAACATAGTGAAGTGATTGAATGAAAGTTACAATTGGTGGTGATACAAGCATCAATTGTATCATATAAAAGTTTATGATAATAAGCGATAGGGAATATAGTTAAATTTTGATAGAAATCATTCGTTTGTTGACGATTATTATTACTATTACAAGAGTTATTATGTTGACTTTGAATCATGCTTGATGTGATTATACATGATGTATCTAACAAATGACTAGCTGTTTCAGTCGCTTCTTCATGAACTGATTGAAAATTGTATGATTTAAGATGAGGCAGTTTAGTTAGTGTATAAATTCGAACTAATTTATCAATAATCTTCCAAGGATTTGCACGCCATGACAAATTTTCCAATTTCGGTGTACATGACACTAAAACTGCCACATTGTCAATGACATTTGTTAATTGATTATAATCCACCTGAAGTTCCGTCAAATTAGGCATACAACCAAACGATTTTAATGAATCGAATTGATTATGACTAATAATTAAACTTGTTAAATTGTTACAATGAAGTAGTGGAAGTTTTTTCAACTGACAATGTGTTATACTTAAATAGCAAAGATTAGAAAAACCTGGAAATTCAAATTTTCTAGAGAATTCAATATCATTTAAAAATAAACTAGTTTTATCTGGACTAAAAAAATGAATTGAACTAGTTGAAATTTGTTTGAAATTAGTAAATTTACTTTGATCACCGGCCATTGATGTTGTCGATGTTGTTGTTGATGATGGTGATGTTGAGGAGGAGGAGGATAGTGTGAAAGTTTTCAACAAATTCTGATCATATTGTATATCTTCATCAAATAATATATGAAGATTATTATTATTATTATTGTCAATTTCAAAATTCAATGTTTTATCCACCTGATCAAATATGGCTGCATATTCATCATTTTTTAAGATATATTCTAATTCGACAAGAAATTCTGGATAAATTAATTCACTGTCAAGTAATAAATTAGGTCGTTTTATTTGTGAAAGACAAAAACAACTTGATTGTTTTTCTTCATAATAAGCAACATGTTCTACATGTCTTTGATCTTTTTTGTCATTACTACTGTTGTTGTTCGTAGTGGTGATAACATTGTGATCATTCGAGAGTGATGATTTGACTAACAATAAACGTGCCACATAATTATTATATTGATCAAGATTTACTTCAGAAATAGGTTGATGCATAGTTTGCAAGTTTTTCTCATCTGCCATATTGATAATATTTGTCAATTTGTATTGATTATTATTCATTCGGACACCATAACGAATAATATTCATGTATGCTTTGAATTGATCCACTTTTTCCGGGCATACAATAAATAGATAGTCAGAAAATGTTGAACATTTAACGATTAAATTACTCATGGATAATTCTGCATTTTGTATAGAATGTTTCCTATTATGATTATTATTATTCTGATGATGATGATGATGATGCTGATGATGAAATATTCTATTATTAATTTTGTACAAATGTAAAAGTTTCACACCACTGATCATGATCGATCCAATCTCATCATCATTATTATTATTATGACAACAAAATCGAGCATTTAAAAATTCATTACAATCAGTAAATAAATCCTCTTTCACAGTGATCTCTTGAATTTCTAAATAACCAAACATTTCTAATTCTAATTCATAAAGATGTTGTCGAAATTGTAAATGTTCTTTTAATTGATTACATAAAATATTATATTTCAGTTTACATGCACAATGAATATTTTCCCAATAAGGAATTCTTTCATTGAATGTATTTATACCATGTAATAATGTGTTCATTTCATAAGATGGTTCAATTTTCAATTGTTGTCTTTCTATTGCTTGTAAACATCGTAATGTTTTATCTAATAATTTAATATGTGCAAATAATTTATTCTGTAATTTGTTAAATAATAATTTTAGTGAAATCAATGTTTTTTCATGTAATGTTTGATAATTTTGACATTTCATCATATAATAACTTTTCTTACCTTGAATAATTGTATTGATAGCATATTTTAACTCTGTGTAATTAATATTAATATGATCAATGTTACATAATCGAGGTAGTTGATAAATTAAAATCATTGGTAAATTGACATTATTACATAGAGGATTTTTTAAATATTCCGGTTCATTGATATTTAATGAAGTTAAATGCGGTAGTTTAGCTAATATAGCTATATCATTAGGATTCCATAATTGATTGCCGGACAATGAAAGTATTTCTAATTTTTGATTAAATAATAAACTATCATTTAAATTTACAATATTATTTCCAGATAAATTCAAATGTTTCAATAATTTCAAATCTTGTAATCCTTCAATAATACTAATACGATTTTCATTTAACCATAAACATTCAAGTTTTTGATTTCCTGATAAATTTTCAATTTTTTTAATATGATTTTCATAAAGATATAATTCACTGAGTTGTTTACATGAACTAAGATTTTCAATTTTCAATAGTTTACATTCACATAACCATAATTTTTTTAAATTTGGACATGTTTCTAATTTAGCGATATGATTAATTCCTTGTGAAATAATAATCAATTCAGTAAGAAATGGAAAACTTTGTAATGAAATCCATTTTGGTAAACCAGAAAATATGATATATAATGTATGATTAAGAAAGTTTTCTTCATTTAAATTTTCAAAATGTACACCATTGACAGTACAAATTTCTTGTAGTATATCTAATGACTCAAGATCCATTAAAAAGCGTCAATCAATGGAAGAACATTTGAAATTTGTTTAAATTGCTCACTCTGTTAGCTATTCATTTTTTTTCATTGATCATTCAAATGATTCAAATTGATTATGTTATGTTACTGCGTTTCGTCAGAGTTTGTTTTTATAAAGGAGACAAGCTAAAAAAAATAAATAGATAAGAGTAAATTATGTTAAATTCAAACTCTATAGGACGTTCTATTATGCAATGGCTAATCTACTTAGTTTGAATAAGCTTTACTGGAGTGCTGTGCTGGTACGGGTAGGATTTGATTGTAACCGATTCGGGCTCGTGTGCTATGGCGGTATGGCAACCTAAACTGATGTATATACGTACGAAGTTCTACGTTGTAACTGACTGACTGACTGACTGGGTAGCAATGTTGAAACTCTTTCAAATCCGAATACCATCATGATAAGAAACTGAGTAATACTTTAATATTTAGCGATTAATATAATACTTGTCCCACTGCTTGAACAAATTGTCTTTATGAGCGAAGTTAATCGTGAAATATTTAACTGGTACTTAATATGCTATTTATCAACACTTAGTTTACTCTTTAAATAACGGTATACTTTCTTCAGCTGTCTCTCAAGCCATTAGTCTATCTGAAAGCTAAACAGTGAGTATCTTGTAGACCAACCTAATCTATTTTACTTTGTAGCTAAAAAGTATATCTTTTTAAAGTAATGAATATTTCAAGTTTAGCATTATTTGAACATAAACATATTCAAAATATTGCCTGAATACGTTGTGACCACCAAGTAAGCAATAGTGAGCTTACACTTAAGGTACTAATCAAAATATGGATGAGTTTCTAAGTATCCATTTACTGAGAAGGTGGGGACATGTGTTAAGTGTGATTAATATCGATTGGAGATGAGGTAAGTTATAGGAAAAATAGAAGACCAAACCGACATTTCAATCCATCTTTGAAATTACTAGCTGTTAATCTGATCAGTGGCGTTAGCTTCATTGTAGACAGTTGCTGTTTATACGATTATAGTGATCAGACGCTGAAGACACCAAATGACATAGCTTTGAGATGGTCATAATGAAGTAGGTGGATTCTATTTCCGTCTCCTATTAAATCCTGACTTTCAAAATTATTTTAGACCTCCTATTCTACCAGTTTATTCTTTCAGTAAGACTACAATTTATGGACTAACTAATTACATTTAGGGCGGGATACTTGGATTACGGAACGAAATTCATCTACTCATGTCTAGAAAACATTTCGGCGTTAAAACTGATGCCAGTTTGTAATATAAACCCCAGCTTTTGGTCCAAACTCCTCAAACCAATATATAACCCTGTTCTGACACTTTTAAGTGGTCGGAGTTCCGTAAGGTCACTTTGATGTCGCCCGGAGGCCATCCAGAATTTATAGTCCCACTACATTTTTACCAAACTACATCCTGCATAATTAAGATTTTTACTTCCACTGATACCAATACCTATAGCTTCCTTCATGTTCATCTTTATTATTCCCCACTTATCAAGCTGAAGTGTCGGCTAGGGCCGAAGGGCATGTAACCCAAGTTCTTCGTCACACGTAAATGAGCGTATACATTAGTTGAACGATAAATATTACTTGAGTAAGTACATACGATTCGGAAAACAAGATCCAAGTTGATTCTTGGTTGGGCCTTTTAACATATTCCGTCGATTAAAAAGGCCAATTTTTAACTTATTCACCAAGATTTCCCTGTTTTGCAGTTTCATATACTGCATTCACTGTATATCCCAGATTAGTGGTGATAAACTTCGAGAGACCTAAAAATAACCTCTTTTGTTTTTTCGTGAAAAACATCAAATATTTTGAATTTATTAGAATTTAGTTGACCATTATTAACTAACTATTCCACCGATTAGAACCCAACAAAAACAGGATAAAAGAGTATCGATACCCATGAGGAATTTGAAATGAACAACTGTTAACAATGAATGAAACGCAGTTGAAACTTTTTCAAATTGGAAGTGCTCAGAACACTAAGGGAATGATTATTTAACTTCTTATCACGAAATAAATGATAGAGCTTTAGGTTTACAAAGGATTTTCACATATCAAGTAAGCTCCGTTAACTAATAACCTTTTGGAAGTTAGAACCTCAGCTTGTACCACTCAAGCTATTAAAATGTAGAATTCAGTTGAAACTGAAACCTGAACCTTGTATAGTCGTTTTTAGGTGGTGCTAATATACGTACATACCTTACTTCGATGACGTATGTTCAAAACACTTCATCCTCATTTCATTGTCGCATGTTACAAGCATTCACTAGACTTTTCTGTGTAAAGCTGGTGGAAATCAAAACTTGGAAGCATTTATCACTAATGGATACCTTATATTTTAGTAATATGGGCATAAAATCCACATTTGTGGACAATTATCAGGAGGTTTTGCATACACTGGATCGTCAAAATGTGAATAAGATCCAGCTCAAAATGCTATTCAAAAAGTCAGATACTCCTTCTAGTGGTGAAGAGCCATTTTAATTTCTCACCGTAGAATAAAGGAAGTAAAGTCATTAACTTTACGGCTTGCATAAAAATTATTAGTTCAAATTCACGAATACATTCCTTCTTTGGTCGTCCCAAACATACTCTAAAAGAGAACATCAGAATCTGTAGCTGACCTGTAACAAATTCAATAACTAAACGCTTAAGTTAAAGAGAAATTAACGTTTTCTACTACAATTTAAGTTTTATAAATTAAATGATAAAAATCACTTTTTCACTAACATCATTATTACTAGCAAGCTGGTCAGCTCACTTTCATCTGGACATCATTCCTGTTTTTAGCTTCAGGAACAAATGATTCTCGTACTTAAATGAATAATTTAACTTACTACCAATCTGTCAAAAAAACTGACTGTTTTATTTCAGTCTGTACTAGCCGTACTGCCTGATATATATCGTATACAGCGAAGGCTAAATCAACTCTTCTTTTTATAAGCAAAAAGCTTAATGAAATCACTACAGAACTTTTTAAACTATCTTTAAACCATACGCACGGCAACACTTTGAAGTTCACAAATTCACTGGACTTTCCTCTCCTTGAAACAGAGGTAAATCTCTGAGACAGTTCGGAGACGAGCAACTAAATGAGTGACAGGGTTAGAGAATAAAACCAAAGAAGACAGACTAAAATACTCGAGATTATTCCCACTAAGTCATAGGAAAATCATCGCCCCCACGCCTCTCGAGGTAACCCTTGAAAAATTGTAAATCAAAGAGTAAACACCAGGACGCGCTTCTGCTTTTTAATGTACCTCCAACCAAAGTAAATACAGCCCTCTCAGTAGATGGCGTCAAAAGTAAACTTGACGAACATATAGACATATACAGACTGTCATCTCCCGTTTGCACCACTGTTATTTGATACATATCTCAAAACTTGCTTGTCGTTATCACTATCATTTCATCAGATCACTTTTCTATTCTATATCGCTTCAAATCTTTGTTTCCTCCCCTTTGTTTACTTTTCTGTTCCCTGGCACAATCTTCATTTCCAATTAATTAACTTAGTTATTTATTTTATTAGTTCTGAAATATTGATCTCGTTAGCATTAGAATTTCCTCTGTTGTTCTTCATACCGCAACTAATTAACTTTGAGCCTGGTTATGTGATAGCTGTTGATATCCAGAGACCCTACTGCTCTGAGTCAAACGCACTCACTTAAATCATAGAAGGTACAAATCGATTAGTAATCGCCAAATCACTATAGTTAATGCAGTCCAGTGGCTAGAGTACCATTTACTGGACATTTCAAAATGCCCGAAACCCTTCCAAAACAACAATAATTCAGCGCAAATAAATCAATCGGTTTATACTAGCTCGTGGAAATGATATCGGATATTTGGTACATACACTATGTCCAATGAACTTTTAAGGCCACGTAACAGTCCGCTAAACTAATAAGAGAGAGTGAATCAGCTAATATGAAACTAGATGACAATTAATCAAATAAGCCCCGCGAAGTTGGTAGATGAGAACTCCACAAAACATATACTGAGAAAAATCACCCATTAGGAAAAATCATAAACTATAAAGCAAACTACAATTTAAAAATTCTCACAAAAAATAATTACGTTATTTCACTGAAAAATTTCTTACCATTTTGTTGTAAACCATTTACAGATAAAATCACACGTTTCCATCATATTGTAAAACGCGGGGTTATGGGTCTTAGGCAGTTGTAGCTTAAAACAAAAGGATGAATAATCAGACTGAGAAAAGTAGAAAGTAATGACTAAATTGTCTAGCCTAATGCAGCCTTAACCTTTAGGTAGATTTTAGTCTAGTTTTGAGGCCAAGTTTGTACTACGATAATAGTTTGCTAGGACGACTTCATCGGTATGTGGAATTCCCCCTTTCATCTATAAATTCGCAGCAACAGACTGGTATATTTACACTCTTTTTCAACTTTTGAAACTTAAAATAACTCTGAATCACATTAAAGGTGAATTAAGTCACCGCATTCGTCCTTATCGTGTGCAAACTGCCAGGACCAACTACAAAGCCTCAGGCTAAATTTGCGTGACTTTCAAAAGAAGCTAAAGATAAGAAAAGAGACTGGAATTAGAGGCGCATCTGTGTCTTCTAGAACTGGTAGATAAGCGATTATAATAGCCAGCCGGCACCTTCTGTACAAATAGTGGCAGGAAACATAGTGGGAACTCCAGAGTTCTCAACCGTTAAACTGTACCAGATAGCTATAAGCCTCTATACTTCCAAGACTTCACGAACAACCGACAAGGTATAAATATATTTACTGACATCAATTCACTCAGTAAATATCACATCAACATAATATCTGAAGAAGATATTCGTGGAGTGGTAAGTAAATACTCAAAATAAATCGTTCTATAAGTCTTCAACATGGTAGCTATCCTTATAATAATCCTAATAAATTTGGAAAAGAATCTTCTACTGCAGTGAATGATACATAAAAGCTGTCTTCCTAATCAGCTGATTATCCG